ACAGGCGTGACCTACCGCGCCCGGCCTCGTTTTTGTATTTTTAGTAGAGGTGGGGTTTCACCATTTTGGCCAGGCTGGTCTTGAACTCCTGACCTCAAGTGATCCGCCCGCCTTGGCCTCCTAAAGTGCTGGGATTATAGGCCTGAGCCACCGCACTCAGCTGCCTCCTTCTCATTTTTAGTTCTCCACTCACATTGTTGATCATGAGGTGCATGATGGTCTTTGGCATGAGGTCGCGGATGGACTTGTTGATAATGGCCACGTATGAGTCCACCAGGTTGCGAATGGTCTCCACCTGCCGCTCCAGTTGGGGGTCCATGGAGAAGGTGTTCTCCTGGGCCCCGTCCTCGTTTTCTGCCTGCAAGCGGGAGGGGAGGTGCTGAGGGGTGACTGTGGCCTGGGGCAAGTCCTGGTTCTCTGGAAACCATCTGCCCTATTGTCCCACCAATAACTGACCCCAGGCTGGCCCCCGACAGCCCCACTGGTACCAGGTAGGCCTGCCTGCCCCGGGCCAGAGCTGCCCAAACAATGAGGTGACGCTGGCTGATGCTGGGGTGGATCCCCTCACCTGGGCATTGGAACGTCGTTTTTTGTTTTTTTTTTTTGACACGGTCTTGCTATGTCACCCAGGCTGTAGTGCAGTGGCACAAACACGGCTCACCGCAGCCTCAACCTCCCGGGTACAGCTCAAGTGATCCTCCCACCTCAGCCCCCTGGAGTAGATGGGATTACAGGGGTGCGCCACCATGCCTACGTATGTTTGTATTTTTTGGAGAGACAGGGTTTTGCAACATTGCCCAGGCTGTTCTCGAACTCCTGGGTTCAAAGGATCTGCCCGTATCACCTCCCGAAGTGTTGGGATTACAGGTGTGAGCCATCACACCCAACCTTAGGACATTTTATTTTATTTTTGAGATGGAGTCTCGCTCTGTTGCCCAGGCTGGAGTGCAATAGCATGATCTCAGCTCAATGCAACCTCCACCTCCAGGTTTAAGCGATCTCCTGACTCAGCCTCCCGAGTAACTGGAATTACAGGCATGTGCCACCATGTCCGGCTACTTTTTGTAGTTTTAGTAGAGACGGGGTTTCACCATGTTGGCCAGGCTGGTCTCGAACTCCTGAGCTCAAATGATCTGCCTGCCTCAGCCTTCCAAAGTGCTGGGATTACAGGCGCGAACCATCCAGCGCGCCCGGCAAGACATTTTAATATTGGGGCCAAGGGTGGCCATGTTCACTCCACCTCAGGATGGAGGGGAAAAGAGAGGAGAACAAAGAAGGCGGTACCCCATCCCCTGCGTGCCCTGGACACTGGCTTCCGTGAGGGAACATTCTAGGCCCTGATGACAAAGTATCTTCAAGTTCTCCTTTGCTTGCTCAAGTGGGCATCTGCTACATGATTTCAGAGACTCCTGGCTAACATGGCCTGAAAATGACGTGTCCTGGGGAAAGCCAGCTCTGCTTCCTCTCCCAGGTGGGGGCCGCTGGGCCGCCGCTGCGCAGGGCGGCTCCTCACCTGGTCCTTCTCAGGGTAGACGCCGGCTCGGAGGAACGAGGCCTTCCAGCTGTCCACGTCCTCCTGGGAGTCACAGGCCAGCTCGATCTGCCGCAGGTCCTTGTAGACGTTTCTGCGGGGGGAGGGAGAGGAGCAGGCTTGACCCTGCCATGGGTCTGGCAGACCACCGGGAGGAGTGGGCTCTAGGGGTCTTTCTGACTGATCAGGAACCCAAACCCAACCCAGGCTTCACCCGGTCATGCCGAGGGATCATTGTGAGTGATGCCTACGCAGAAGATCACTGTGCACAAGCTCGGCAGGTGTCTGTGTTTCTTTATTTCTGTTGGATCAGCTGACTCTTCTCTTTTCCTGGGCTCCCAGAAGTAGGCATGTGACCCTTGACACCCACTGTAGCTGGGAAGCTCCCACTGGGGCATTTTCAGGAAAGCCCAGAGCAGCACTGTTCATCAGAAATTTATTATTATTATTATTATTATTTTTGAGATGGAGTTTCATTCTTGTTGCCCAGGCTGGAGTGCAATAACACAATCTCGGCTCACCGCAACCTGTGCCTCCCGGGTTCAAGCGATTCTCCCACCTCAGCTTCCCAAGTAGCTGGGATTACTGGTATGCGCCACCACGCCAGGCTAATTTTGTATTTTTAGTAGAGATGGGGTTTCTCCATGTTGGTCAGGCTGGTCTCGAACTCCTGACCTCAGGTGATCCACCCGCCTTGGCCTCCCAAAGTGCTGGGATTAAAGGCGTGAGCCACCACGCCCAGCCTTTTTTTTTTTTTTTTTGAGACGGAGTCTCTCACTCTGTCACCCAGGCTGGAGTGCAGTGGTGCGATCACAGCTCACTACAGCCTCCATCTCCTGGGCTCAAGTGACTGACCCTCCCACTTCAGTCTCTTGGGTAGCTGGGACTACAAGGATTCGCCACCATGCCCAGCTAATTTTTTTTGAGTTTTAAGAGACAGGGTAATGCTATGTTGCTCAAACTGGTCTTGAACGCCTGAACTCAGGCCATCCTCCCACCTCGGCCTCCCAAAGTGCTGGGATTATAGGCCTGAGGCACCGTGCCCGGCCTTGTATATTTCATAGTAGTTAGAAGAGAGGACCTGAACTGTTCTGAACACAGGGAAATGAGGAATTCCAAAGTGACAGTCACCACAAACAGCCTGCCGTGAGCACTACATACTCTGTGCATCTCATAAAACATCACGGGGACCCCATAAATATGTCAAACATTATGTATCTTTTTTTACACAGGACAATCAGGAGGGATGCTGGGTCAGCGTGGAGAGCAGGGGCCGGTCGGCAGTGTCCTTGCTCGAGGCCTGCCCCCTCACTTGCAGTGAACGAGTCCCTCCCATGACTCAGCACTCAACACTGCTCCCTGCAGTCACCATCACCCAGGGGCCTCTCCACTTCCTTCCCATAATGACGAGCATGTGGGGATCGTTCTGCACACTGCGGCCAAGCACCGCACAGTGGGCAGGGACCATTCTAGCCCACTTCGCAGATAGAAAAACCGAGGCCCAGAGAGGCAAAGGGCCTGACTGAGCCTGTAAGTGATGGAGCCCCTGGAGGCTGGTTTCATGCCTGAGCCCCTGACCCTTAGGCATGGTCTCTTCTCTTGAGCACGGGGCAGTCACAGTGGCACGGGAGGCCAGGGCCTATTTCTAGCCTGCCAGTGACTCTGTTACCCGCCATCTCCCTTTTGCACTCTAGGAGCTGGCCCCATGGGGGCCAGCTACAATGTGAGTCTTTTGGCACATGGTGGCTGCTCTCCAGCCCTGGGTTATGGTTGTGTTTTGTTTGTTTGCTTGCTTGCTTGCTTGAGACAGAGTCTCGCTCTGTTGCCCAGGCTAGAGTGCAATGGCACAATCTCGGCTCACTGCAACCTCTGCCTCCTGGGTTCAAGCGATTCTCCTGCCTCAGCCTCCTGAGTAGCTGCGATTACAGGCACATGCCACCACTCCTGGCTAATTTTTGTATTTTTAGTAGAGACAGGGTTTCATCGTGTTGGTCAGGCTGATCTCGAACTCCTGACCTCGTGATCCGCCTGCCTTGGCCTCCCAAAGTGCTGGGATTATAAGCAGGAGCCACTAGGCGCGGCAGGTTATGGTCCTAGTGGTGACTCTGGGGCCGAGTGGCACAGTGACTGAATGAATTCTGCCCAGAGGGAGCGCCCACCCGCTCTTCCCTGGCTGCCCCATGTCCCCCAGCAGCCCTGCTCCCACCTGCCACTCACCTCCTCATCCTTGTACCAGGACAGCGACTCTGCAGTCAGCACAAACCAGTACTCCTTGGAGCCCCCCTTCATCAGGCTGATGTTGTTGATGGTCAACCAGCCCCTGCGGATCACCTAGGGGGAAGCGCGCAGCTTAGCGGAGAACCTCGCTCCGCGCCCCAGCCATCCCCCAGCGCAGCAGCCACGCCCACAGGTCAGTGGGAAGCCGGGGACTGCGATAGACACCTCCAGCCCCGAAGCCCAGGAAACCCAGTTCCACCCTGTGCCAAGCATGTCCAGCTGGAAACCAACATGGGGTGCCACCTGGGCAGGTGGGCAGATTCACTGGGTCAGGGGCTGATGGGGGACAGAGTCACGGAGGCCTGACGGAAAGGGGTCCACAGGAGGAGTCCCTGGGGCTTGTGTGTGGGGTTGTGGCAAATGAAATGTGACATCTGAGGAACTGCACTTGTTTGCGTGAGATAAGCTTCCAAGGGTGGCATCCACACAGAGGGCTAGGGTCAAAGGTGTGAGCCCAGGGGCCCTCTCCAAGCACACTGAAGGAGCGCGGCTCATGTCCCAAGCTGGCTGCAAGCCTGGTGGTCGTCCTTTTTACTGACACATCAGGGTTCTGGGCTGGGAGACCCCATGGATGGGGATCGTGTGGCTGTAGGTGTCATCTGAGTGGGGGTCAGAACCCAGGCCTTGAGTTCAGGGACTCACCTGACAGCTAACGGCAGGCAGCCTGGGGGCTGTGCTCCCACGCTCCCTGGCCGCTGGAGGCATGTGTGGGCCAAAGCTCCCCACCCCCCTCAGGACAGGGGCCCTGGGAACTGCGGGAAGCACACAGAGGCACGCACAGGGCGGCCTGGGACCCAGGCACTGACAGACTTGGCCAAGCTACAAAGGGTGGGCTGAGCATGGCCACGGACAGCTGCGAAGGGCTAGCGTGCGCCCCCTGGGGCAGGGCATGGCAGGGCATGGCAGGGCATGGCACGACAGGAGTGCCAGAGATGGGGTCTCCAGGAATCCGTCTGGGGCCCAGATGCTGTCCTAGTCAGGGGCAGTCCTCTGGAGGGGCTTCACCCGGACTACCCCGACCCACCCCAGGCCTGTCATTCTGAACAGGGCCACCAGCCCACAGTTCCGGTGGCTCCTTGGTGGCTGGATGTGAGTGCTAAGCCCCAGGTGGCCATGAAGACAGAGGTGGCTAAAGAGTACCCAGGGACCCCTGGACCATGCAGAAGTCACTGCCCAGGCTGGGGACAGCATGAGATGCCACCGGGTGCCCCTTGTTAAGGCCAAGGGTACGGACTTCTCCCTCCGTGGGATGAGCAGACAGGACTCTCACAGTTGTTTGGAGCAGGCAGTGACCCCTGGCATCTGGCCATTCACAGGCTGCCTGGTGGTGGGTGAGGGGGCTGAGGCCGGCAGCCCCTGTGAGGTCACAGCATCCCCTCTGGGAGTGCAGTGACGAGCTCTTCCTGGTCTGCCCAGGAGGTCCTGGTGTTAGCATCAGGCCTGGCATTCTGGGAATGCCGCCATTCACCCGGGGGAGTGGGGTGGGTGCACGGCCTTGTCTCAGTCCAGGGCTGGGCACAGAACGAGTGCTTAGTAGGCCCTGGTTCCGTGACTGAATGACAACCAGGTGAGGGAAAACAGGGAGACAGGCTGTCAGCGCTCCCCCAGAGAAATGTGAGGCCTCCATACTCCTAGGCCTGGCCCGGATCCCAAGGAGAGGGATGTGCCCGCGCACCCCTCGGTGGCCTGGCTCTCCTGCCTCCAGCCGGGCTGAGTGTTGCTCAGAGCTGGAGGACAGGGCCCATGCTATGCTTTGGGGTACACGGCCATGGCCACAGGGCCAGGGCACTGATCGGGGCCATGCTGGGGATGGCACACCAAGCCTCGGGGCAGGAGATCTGGCAGAAGCCCTGAGGTGCCCTTCTCCGCATGGGTTCAGAGACAAAATCCCATCCCAGGGAGCTGCAAGCTGTGGGTGGCGAACACAGGCACCGTCAGCCATCCAAAACTTGTGACCCAGAGAAAAGGGAGGGGCCAGGCCTCAGCAGAAAGTCAGGTTTGCATCCAAGGGACACATCCCAATGGGACTGGGCTTAGAAGGAAGTGGGGGTGGGAGAGACAGGAGAGGCTGCAGGCCGTCGCAGGCTGGGGTGCACAGTGACAGGCAGGCAGGCACATGGGGCGGCATGGGCGGCAGGGCAGGCAGGGGGTGGTAGAGCAGGGATCCCCTGGCAGGCTGCTCCAGTCTCTTTCCTGGGTGAGGGTCCTGCCCCGAGTCTCCCGGGTAGAGATGGAAACCACAGCTGGGAGACCCAGAGCCCACGACCACACTCATGACAGGGCTGGGCTATGTGGCCTCTGGTAGGAAAAGAGGAACACCTAACCTCTTGGGGTGCAAGGGAGAAGCAGGTTCCTGGCCTTGGCCTGTCAAATTCAAGGGGACTGGGGGAAATACGTGAGGAACCTGAAAACCACAAGCCCAAGGCCAACTGATTCCTCCCGTCACTGCCCCCACCCATGGCCGTATCTGCACCACCCAGGCCCTGGGAGCAGCAAGGCCCTGGCATAAGATCGGCTCAGCTACAAGAAAGACCCTGGGATTGCCAGAAGATCCCTGCTAGAGGGCAGTGGCAGGGATGACCAGTGCCTTGGTGGCTGGCAGTGGGAGAATGTCCAGCAAAAGTGAGCCCCTGCTAGGACTGGAGGCCCAGACTGTGCTGTCCAAGTGTGAGAGCCGGGCTGAGGCCAGCTGCCTAGAGGCGAGCTCCTTGAACTGGGCTCAGCTCTCAGATATGAGTAGCAGGCTGCTTCCCACTGGGCTGGGCTGGACTGGGTCTCACGCCCATCTCACGCCCCACACTGAGCCCCAGCTGAGGGCTGTGCACAAAGGAAGGAGGTGTTACCCACAGCAGGGACGGACAGCAAATATGATTCATCTTGGGGGCCATGTCAATCGACTGGTACGAGATACCTGGAGCACTGTGGTGAGAATTCTGAGCGTGGCAGGAAACGGTGCTAGGATCAATTAGTGTTGCCTGTCACAGGCAAAGGATAGGAGAAGGGGTAAGTGCAACAGAAGAGTCTCATCAATTTATCCGGAGGACAAGAGGCAGCATCTAGGAAAGGGGCTCCTGATTGACTAGTCATGCCTGCCATGCGTAGAGAAGAGGGTATCATATGGGGAAAAAAACAATACCTTGATAACTTAGCCACATCTGCTATAGAACAGGAATGCTGGCAAGTTTATTTGGAAAGAATGCCAGGATTGATTAGCAATGTCTGCCATGGGCATGTGCTAGAGGAGCGGCATAAGGCAAAGAATGCTATATCAACTAGCCATGTCTGCCATGGGCGCAAGAGGGGAAGATTTCTGCCATGTGGAAAAATATGCTCTGATCCATGAGTGACATCTGCATAGGAGAGAGAAGGAGGAGGGGCAGTGCCAAGAATGAATTCTGGTCTGGCTTAAGCGAGATCTTCCACAGTCAGGGATATGAGGGGAGGCAGGGGCAGTGTGTAAGTATTTGCCATCCCTGACCTACAGGAAACCAGGAAAACCTGCCAGGAACTGGCTGCAGGAGTGTGCCTTCAAGGGTGGCGGTTCAGTTAGTGCCTGTGTGAGTCAACTTAAACCCAGGGCAACGCGCAATCCAGCGCCGGCTGCGGCATGGGGTTTCTAGGTTAGCTTGATTTTTAGTATTTTTGTTATTTGGAGGGGATGGGGAACAGGGAATGTTAAGGGGTGGGCGGGGTCTCCATCACCACTAGATTCTCTAACGTTTGCTACCACACTAAGCATGTACTTACCAGGATCTCCCCCTTTGAATATGCAAAGTTAGGGTTGTGGGTGAATCAGGGAAGAGCAGGCAGAGGAAAAGAGATGGAAGGGACGTGAAGGGGACAAAGAAAAAGCAGGAAAAGCACAAAAACAGGAGAAGAGAAGATCAGGGGAAAAAACAGCAAAAGAAAAAAAATTACATGCTATTAATCATATTCATGGTGTTAATATTTAATTCATTATCATCTCAAGAAACAAAAAAGCAACAACATATGTATTACCTACAGCAAGCGCAAAAATAAATCATGCAATGGTTACGTTCCTCCTTCCAGTAGGCTCTATGATCGTGCAAGGTACACGGCGGAGTCCCCGCCCCCACCCCTGCCCAGTGGGGAGAAGGGAGGGACATAGGCGAAATTTTGCAAAGATTATGGGTTTCCTTTTTTTTCTTTTTTTTGAGATGGAGTCTCGCTCGGCCGCCCAGGCCAGATTGCAGTGGTGCAATCTCGGCTCACCATAACCACCATCTCCTGGGTTCAAGTGAATCTCCTGTCTCAGTCTACTCAGTAGCTGGGATTACAGGCACCCACCATCATGCCTGGCTAATTTTTTGTATTTTAGTAGAGATGGGATTTCACCATGTTGGCCAGGCTGGTCTCTAACTCTTTTTTTGTTTTTTGTTTTTGAGATGGAATCTCACTCTGTTTTCCAGGCTGGAGTGCAGTGGCACAATCTCGGCTCACTGCAAGCTCTGCCTCCTGGGTTCACGCCATTCTCCTGCCTCATCCTCCCAAGTAGCTGGGACTACAGGCGCCCGCCACCACGCCCAGCTAATTTTTGTATTTTTAGTAGAGATGGGGTTTTGCCATGTTAGCCAGGCTGGTCTCAAACTCCTGAGCTCAGGCAATCCACCCGCCTCGGCCTCCTAAAGTGCTGGAATTACAGGTGTGAGCCATTGTGCCCGGCCTATTATTAATTTTTAAGACGAGGTTGCATTGTACTGCCCTGGATGGTCATGAACTGCTGGGCTCAAGTGATCCTCCCGCCTTAGCCTCCTAAGTAGCTGGGGTGATAGGCATGAGCCACCACACCCAGCTCATTTTTAAATATTATTTGTAGAGACAGGGTCTTTCTGTGTTGCCCAGGCTGGTCTCAAACTCCTATCCTCAAGTGATCCTCCCACCTTGGCCTCCCAACATGCTGGCATTACAGGCGTGAACTACCATGCCCAGCCAAGAGTCAAGTTCTAACCCTGGCCTTGGATGGCACATACGGTCTTTTGGGTGGGTAAAATGTGCCCACTAGGCCCTGCCAGAGTGTCGGCTCTTAGACCATCTCCCAGAAGTGTCTATTCCCAAGTGGCCTCCAGAGGCCGAGAGAGCAGATGGCCTGGTACTGAGGCTGTGGGGGCGCTTTCCACAGGCTGAGCTCCATCCCTGGGGCTGGGCTGTCATTTAGTGTCCTCCCACCCCCCAGGGTAGAGTGGCAGGCTGCAGAGGGGTGTGCTACCTGATTGGGGATGGCTCTCTTCTTGTTCAGCTGCGTGCTCCTCTGCTGGGCACTGAAATCAAAGAACAGACAGGGTTCATGTGGACAGGATGCTGAGGGGGAAGAAGGGCAAGAGGCGCATGTGGCCATTCTCTCCCTGGGGACCAAGTGAGCAGGCAGAGGCAGAGGCAGAGAGAAGCCCCCTGCACACAAGGAGCTGCACAAGGGCAACGGCCTGGGCACACGGAACAAGAAAATGTATCTGGTTCGATTGAGGCTTCTTAGGCCCTCAGCTCAGCCGACTTACTAAAGTGTTGGTTACTTCCAGATGTCACTAGGATCCCAGAGTTTCTAAGAGGAATTGTGAGAAGGTGTTGCCTAAGATGAATGCAGTGGCGCAATCACAGCTCACTGCAGCCTTGACCTCCCGGGCTCAAGTAACTCCCCTGCCTCAGTCTCCCGGGTAGCTGGAACCAAAGGTGCACACCACCATGCTCAGCTAATTTTTGATTTTTCGTAGAGATGAGGTTTCGCTATGTTGCCCAGGCTGGTCTTAAATTCCTAGACTCAAGGGATCCACCCGGCTCCACCTCCCAAAGTGCTGGGATTACTGGCATGAGCCACTGCGCCCGGCCCTTCTTCCTACTCTTCTCATGATTTGATCCCAACACCAGCCTGTAAGTGGCTCTAACCACAGAGCCATCCAGTCCTAGACATCAGAGTGTGGGACAGCTGCTGGCCATGAAACGGCACGTATCTTGCACGACTCCTGACCCAAATTTAGAGGACATCCAAGGTCGACAGGGAGTGTTTCTATAAGGTTCCTATGCAGCCACAATCCCAGATCTTTTTTCTTCTTTATCCACTTAGGAATAGATACTCCTGGCTAGTTCATGCCAGCATAGACAAAACCCACTATATTTTATATGTGGATACCTACTCCACCACCTTACGGTTCTAATATATTTTCCACTCTGACAATCATATGATCACTTGCAAACAACGTACATCTCCTGTAACTTATCAATCACATTTTCTTATTGCTTTGGCTGAAACTTGCAGAACAATATGGAGAAGCAAATCAGCTTGGTCACTTTCCTTTCCTGACTACCTTGGGGGTTTTGTTTTAAAGTGTAAGTTGGCTATAGGATAAGGGAGAAAGTAGGCTTCTGTTTCTAGATCAGAAAAGGCTGGAAAACTAAGAACAAAGGCAGAATTTTATCCAATGTTATTCCCAACATTCAATACGTTTATTACAGGGCTTCTCATCTGGGCTGTTTATTATTTATTTTTGAGACAGAGTCTCACTTTGTCACCCAGGCTGGAGAGCCCTGGTGTGATCATGACTCACTACCTTGACTTCCCAGGCTCAGGTCATTCTCCCACCTCAACCTCCTGAGTAGCTGAGATTACGCACCACCATCACACCCAGTTAATTTTTGTATTTTTTTAGAGACAGGGTTTCACCATGTTGCCCAGGCTGGTCTCAAACTCCTGGGCTCCAGCGATCCACCCACCTTGGCCTCCTGCAAAGTGCTGGGATTACAGGCATGAGCCACTGCGCCAGGCCTGGGCCCTGTTTATAATATTTTATTTGGAGGGTAATGGGAAGTCCAGAACATCCAAGCACAAGAAGGATTTTGATCAGCAGCATCTGAAGGAGGTGGCACTGAGCTGAGCCAACCTTCACAGTGATGGCTGGGTGACAAGTGATGCCCCAGAGGTGCTTTTCCTAAGGGCCTCCTGGCTCCCACCCTTGCCAGGGCTCCCTCAAATAGCAGCCCACAAGGTGGCCCCTCTCCTGAGCCTGGACCTAATCGGAAGCATCCTGGTGTCTTGGGGGAAAATCCAGAATCCTCCCCTGGACCTGCAGGGCCCTCCTGATGACAGGGCCTGGCCTCTGGCTCTCTTACCTCCACCTGCCTGGTCTTGTAGCCGTCCTTCCCTAGGTTCAATTCTCTGGGGTGCCCCCTGCATCACCTGACTTCTTCAGGAAGATCTCTCCAGGCCACATCCCTGGCTCCCCTTTCCCACAGCTTATCCCCTTCCCTCTCTTCCTGCTCTCATCGTCCTTGTGACACTTTGCTTAAGGACTCCACCTCCCCAGCCTGCAGGCTCTGAAACAGCAGGGGCTACAGCTGGTGCGGTCAAGGTCCTGGCCCGGAGGCCCAACGCTGGCCCTGGCTCTTCAGCACCCCATAGCTCTTCAGCGGGCCCCAGGGACGTCCCACCCAGGGCTGGGGCCACCCGGCCAGGGCGTACCCGTTCACACACCAGGGCAAAGGCACACAGCAGGCAATACCCACCAGGTCACCAGCTGCTCAGTATAGTAACAGCTGGGGTAAGTGGGAAGGCCCAGGAATCCAGAGGAAAGAGTGGAGTGGTCAAAGGAAAAACAGGAGAGATTGTGAGAAGGAACTGTGGATGAAGTGTGAGAAGCAGAGACATCAAGGTGAGGAAAACAGCAGCAAACCAAAGATGGGGACCAGCGCTGTGAGCCCATACACACCTGTCAGCCGGGAGCACAGGGCTGGGGGCTGCCTCCCACAGGCAGGGGAGGCCCAGTCAGGGCCCTCAGCTCATCTCTAGGAGGGGTTCTGATGAGGCCCTCATTCCTTTCTTTGCCTTCCTCCTTTCTCCCCACCTACCTGGTGCCCAGCACAGAACAGGTCCTCAATCAGCTTTGTCAGGTGCACCAATAAACGTTCTATCCGGTAACTACATAGCCTGAGATTTGGCTCTAGAGGCCCTCCCCTAGGAAGCCTGCCTGGCCCGTCAAGGCAAGGCCCAACAGCCGCCCTCTGGACCTCGACAGGCCCCGCACGGCCCCACCCAGCACACTATGCTGTAACGGCCTGTGTCCCTGTTGGTTCCCTGCATGGGGCCTTCCTCTGAGGGTGGGGAGCTGGGTGTGGGTTTGCCCACTGCTCTGTCACAGGGCCTCGCGAGAGGGCATACCAGCGGCACCATCCAGCCCGCCTCAGGCAGGAAGGCCTGCGTGAGCCTCCCCAACCATCTGAGTGAGGCCCAGGCGTGCCGGGGGACTGAAGGAATCGGCGGGTGATGCCTGAGACCACTAGCACTGATAGCGACATCCTGCTGAAATCAGAGCTCCCCGATCTGGGCCCTCATCTAGGTGCCATGGAAAGTTCTGATTTAAATCTACAGTGTACGCCTTGAAGCGAGGGAGACCCCAGGCAGCAGTTCCCAAAGAGCAGCTTCTGGAGCCCTGAGCCCATGAGATGCTGTCCATGAAGGGGCAGAGTCTGGGAAAAGCTGCCCACTGGTTGCTAAAGGCTCTGACAAGTCCTGTGGGAGAGGGAGTGCAGCAGCTGGCTGGCTTCGCCCTCTCCCTGCCGGTCTGACCATAGCACTGCCCTCTCCCGAAACTAACCACAGGGATGCCCCACAGAAGGCGCGTTGGTTTGGGACAGTGGACCACTATCAGCCCAGGAGAGTGTCCAGATATTCTCAGGTGGCTCTGCCTTCACCCCAGGACCCCCGATAGAGACTGTGTGACCCCCGCCCTCTCAGAGAATCCCAACTCGATCACCTCCTTGGATCTGAGAGTAAGGACTGGTGCCGCCCAACCAGCCACTGTCTCCAAAAGTACCTACTTGGCAAACCCGATGAAGTCCTCGTGGTTTGTGTTGATGTAGGACTGTTCAATGTCGATCAGCAGAAGAATCTGGGGGAAAGTGGGGGTCACTGTGAGTACAGGGCCAAGCCTGGTAAGCGGGGGTGGTGACAGGAGCGTTTCCTGGTCTTGCCAGCAGAGAAGGCATGCGAACCAGGAGGCTTCCCAGACAGGAGAACAGGGGGCTGGTGTCGCACTCCCCACACCCTCACAGGCAAGAAAGCCTGGGACAACAGAGCACAGCCAGGCAGCCCAATGGGCCAGTCACAGGCAGGGCCACTGTCCCCAAGGTCTGGAGTTCTGATTGAGCCACTAACTGGCCATGTGACCCTGGGCCTCACGTTACTGACCTGTGGAATAGGGTGACAGGAGGCCCAACTGCCAAGGGTTTAATAATGTGCAGCCTTTTTTTTTTTTTTTTTCTTCGAGACTCACTCTGTCGCCCAAGCTGGAGTGCAGTGGCATGATCTGGGCTCACTGCAACCTCTGCCTCCTGGGTTCAAGCGATTCTCCTGCCTCAGCCTCCCAAGTGACTGGGATTACAGGCGCCTACCATCATGCCCAGCTAATTGTTGCATTATTGGTAGAGACAGGGTTTCATTGACTTGGCCAGGCTGGTCTCGAACTCCTGACCTCATGATCTGCCCGCCTTGGCCTCTCAAA